GTTAGGACGGGTATTGGGGTGTTTGAATTGGGCTGTGAGGATTTGGGCCTTGGGGATTTAAATTAATTTGGGCCCAATTCCGATTTCTTTTCTATTTTTTGTTCTTTTCTACTTATTTCCTTTTTAATTCCTAAATTACAACCAAAATCCTAAATTAAATCATAAAATCGACAATTAACTTAAAATATTAACTCTTAATAATAATTATCACACGAAATTAAACACCAATAAAGATAAAATCACACAATTTGGACATTAAATGCTAAAAATGCAAAGTACATATTTTTTGTGATTTTTTCATTTTGTAAAACAAACTTGATTGTTTAATTAATTCATAAATTGTAAAATTAAATCCTAAATGCACAGACAACATATATATTTTTTTGTATATTTTTTTTTTTTGTATTTTTCCTTAATTAAAACAAAATAAACATGCCCAGCCAAATACAAACAATTAACCAAAAACACCACGAAAAATTCTCAAAATTACACACAAAGGAAAATTGTTTTATTTTGAGTTTCTGGGAGTAATTCTCGTAGGGCAAAAATCACGTGCTCACAACTGCCCCTCTTTGTCCGGAAACACGAAGAGTTTTCGTGCAAAGATAAAGTGAGCGGATACGAGCGATTTTTGCCCGCTCGTCTACTCCGTGTGAAGCATTTTGAAAGATTTAACCGAACCTCTGCTTCAAAGGTTTCCTACATATCCCTGGCTAAAAGGGAATCAGGTCAATGTAGTTCGGGAAGTTTTGGTAGCTGGGACTACCATGGGGCTGTTGTTTTGCTGTTACTACTATCGCTGTTGCTGCTACCGCTTACTGACCTCCTTATGACACCACGGTAAAAGAAAACAAGAAGCTAGACTAAACTAGAAATTACAAAATCTTATCTAGATCTTCAAACTTGCTCTTGTTGCCTTGTGTTTCCTCTGATGTTTCTTTACTTCCGACTTGACTTGTACTCTCTCTTGATTGCTGAACTCGAACTACTTACTTCTTTCTTGTGAGCTTCGCATTATTTTTTCCTTCGAAGCTTGAACTGCCTTATTCTGAACACTGTTGCCCTCCTTCTGATTTCTGAACTTGAATTTATGCTGGGGATTTTTGTTGTATCCCTCTGCTTTACTGACTTCAACAACTACTTAAAAAGATAACGCCATTCCGTTCTCCAGGCGGGCTCCTGACTTCAATAACTTCTTAAAAATATAACAATTCCATTCTCAAGGCGGGCTCCTGATTTCAACTACCCTTTTTTTTTTAAAAAAATATAACACCTCCATTCTCCAGGCGGGCTCCTGACTTCAATAAACAACTCAAAGATAATA